TTGCAACCCGTTACCCACTAGATCTTCAATCTGTCTGCAACGGTCAGCACTCAACGATACACACAGAAAGGACTGGGTTACTATTTCTTTCACCTGGATAAACTGCTCAAAGTGCCAGCATCAGCATATAAACAATTTCCAGCGAGTTACGCTCGGGTTTGTAATGTAAGCTACTATATACAATCAACATCGACGCCACCCAAAAATTACGACGAATTCAGCCTATAAAGAGCTGCGTGAAATTCAACAAAACTTGAGAACAATTGATCATCAAACGATTCCCCACCATCTTACTGTGCAGCACTATCAAATCGCTGACTATGTTGCCTTAAAAATATCAATCATGCTGATAACAGCATACACCGTTCCGAAGGGAAACATCATCTGGAAATCCAGAAAGGTGACAATTAACACAAAAGAATTCACCATCTCATCTCATCCGGAACCCGATCCCCGCAATTTTAATTTCAATGTCAAAAGATGGTTGAACATCTATTCAACGGCTGGGAGAATGTGGACCGAGTATTAAATAACAAAAGAACAGCAGACAACCTTGCCATCAAAACAGGCAGTAGCTCAGCCGACACATCAGCGAAACAATACGGTTAGCTGACACTGCCTATAGTAAAATACGAATATCTATAATTGCAATTTCTCTTTACACTTACTTTGTCAGCCAAAGCACTTCTTGTACCAGTCAATTTCAACAAAATCAGTATTAAACTCAAGCGATCAAAAAGTTTTAACTTTTATGCGTGGCGCATAAACAGCTCCTATGTGAGCTTTACGCTATAGACGTCTGTTCCGGCTCGTTTCGGCTCATATACTACCTGCAACAAGAAGACAACTTTTGATAATGTTTCATTTGCGTAGAAACGGACGGACGGACGGGCGGGCGGGCCTGACTAGATCGACTCCCCCAGTGATGCTGATCAGGAATGTACGGGTATATATATGGCATCAGCCATTGTATGGCATGAGTAGAGATCGGACCAATCAAAGCCAGAAATAAAATTATTTAGCCTCAGAAAGTCTGCCTTGCGAAATTGTACTATTTAAATAAATCTTTAGAAGATTTTTGTATAGTACCTCCACCCAAAATGGGACCTATTGGTACAAAAACAGTTCACTCCACTGCAAATGTAGCAAATAAAATATAAGCAGAAAATCGAAACTAAGGGTTGATAAGTATCCGAATGATAGTTTTTGTAGTAATCATGTTCGCTAACATATTTTTCAAATAATACAAGCGGAAAACTATATCTTTAAAAAAATATATTTCAGAAAGGCTAACGATCTTGAATTAATTTGTTTACTTTTTGATAAAGTTTCTAAAACAGGAAAAAATTTTGCACATATGAAGAAAACAAGGAATAATAAATAAAACAAGAAAGAAAGCAAACTTCGGCAAACCGACGTTCATATACCCTTAAATATTCTTGAAAACATTAAAACTATGATTTACTTGCTCAATTATTTAATTTGCAGCTCAATTTTTTGATAGTTCCTATGACAGCTATACGATATGATTTTTTGATTTCAATAGAATTAAAAGCGTAATCCTCAACTGCGAAATTATTAATAAGTCAAAGAGAATTTAAAAAAAAATTATAAAACAGAAAAGTTTCATTTAAAGAAAAAAAATTTGTTTTATTGTAGTGTGCATACATACATCGGCAACAATGTTATCCAAATCTGCAGGATCAGCACTCTTCAAGTGCAAACGTAATTTGCTTACAAACACCATTAGCGAGTGACAAGTCGCGTCAGCTTCTTCCCACAGCTTGGCGACAGCACCAAATATATCCATGTATGCACATAAAATTCCGTTGTTCTCTCTCTCTCTCTGAGCACCGCTCCCAGAGATAAACAAAAGCTTACATATAAGGCTGTTGCGTCGCTACCGGCTTGACCGACAGCGCCGACTGCGAAGTATAGAACTAAACGAAGCCAAGAATATAGGCAAGCAGTCAAGAGATGACGGCGGACAAAATAAGTAAATTTAATAAACGTCGAAATATATAAAATATGACCAGTGCGTTCTATAATTATTGAAAGAACTGTGAACCTTTAATGGCGACATAACAATTAAAAATCATCAAGTGAAAAAGCCAGTGCGAGTCCAAAGGGCCCTGAACATCCCAAAAAATTAAAAATCGTCAAGTAACAAAAAAGCCTGTGCCAGGACCAGCACCGTCTGGCCCGGAAACTGAAGACAAGAAGAAGGACGGACAAATGCAGAACAAATAATTTTATTTTATATGAATATATTATATATTAAAATTGTAAATGTGAGCTGTTCAAGAAGACGACCCAATTAGGATTTTTTTTTGATAGGCAAGAAAAAAGTTATAACAATCTAAAAAAATCCTTAAATATAAAATTGTAAATTTGACCTGTAAAGGAAGACGACCAAAAAAATTCTTTGAAAGGCAGGAAAAAAATTGTATCAATAAAAAAAAATATATATGTATATTTATATATAAAATAAAATGGAATTTAAGATTTAAAAAAAATATATAATTATAATATATCGACGTACAGCAAATTTTTTTTAAAGTAGTTATGCTATTTTAAGCTATAAACAAAGATGACGCAAAAAGATTATAATTAGGGAGGGAATTTTGTAAAAGAAAAGAAATAAAACAAATGTGAACGTATGTTTTATATTACCAAAATAAAAACGGTAAAAAAAAGAAAATGTAAAATCAGTAACCAGAATATTAAAATATAAAAAATTAAATTAAAAAAAAAACTTAAACATTTAAAAAGAATTAATTCGGAAAGAATTAAAAGCTATTGATAGGCCATCATGGGAACAAGCATGTGAACTTCACGCAGAGCTAGACTCCGAAAAAAAATTTGTAAGAACAAAGCTAAACAAAAGTTAAGAACCTGAACAAGTTTACAAAAATATTAGAATCATCAGGGAAAATTTTGAGAAAAAATCTCCTCCGAAAGAGACATTTTTGCCAGTACTTAAAAAGGAATGCTCGGCAGACTGCCCAGGCCCTTTAGTCTCACCATTTTGTGAATGCAATACATAAGAAACCCATCTAAGTGTACGAATTCAATCTAAGTAATTCCCCATTGATACATTGCAATAATACATAAAAAACTGTAAGTTTTTTTCTGTCATTGATAAAAATTCATTACTTGGCAATGTAATCAAGGAGATACTTAAGATAAAATCAACTCACACATGCGGGTTTTTGGATTCGTTGGGATCAACTCAGGAGATTGCTTCATGCTACATGCTGGTGCAAAAATTTGATTTTTCCACGTAAGCTGGTTGGGAATGGGCCACAATACCCTTGGTGAAGGAATTCAATGAATTTTTGGAGAATCGGTGCCGAAGACTGGAGAACCTTCAACATGCCATGGGGAGTTATAACTCAAATTGTCAGGTGAGAACAAATAGTAGAAGTAGCTCTATTAAAAGCAAAAAGTTGCCTACCAGAGTAACAATCTACCATGTGCATTTTGCATGAGTATCCCATTCATATCGTCCTACGTTTGAACAATTATCTCCTTCTTTGCGGCATGCTGAAATCAAGAAGAAGAAATCTATGCTTCAGTTACTTAAAACGTGGGCACTTTACTCAAGCTTGAACAAGCGGAAATTGCCGCGTTTGTGGAAATAGGCACCACACATTATTGCATTTTTATAAAAACTCTTCGCAGCTAGAAATTGAAACTGATTCTGCCATTATTTCTGAAGTTAACGCCTCCAGTTCTCAGCCAACTTCCTCTCTAGTCTTTTAAGGACCAGCTTCTGATATTACGCTGCTGGCCACTGCTGCTGTACTCGTAAAAAGCCGTTCCGGTTTATTCATTCCATGCAGGGCATTGCTTGATTCAGGCTCCCAGCTGCATCTTCTAACGTTTTGCCGGCAGTTACAGCTAAAAAAGGACTCGCTTAGCATCTCTGATTTCAGGACTCGGTGAGACAAGGGTTCTAGCTGAAGAATATTTGCTTAAAGTCTGAGGTATTCGGCATTATTATCTGCAAGCCTACTATCACTGTTAATCAGCCAAGCATAGCCCTGAGGATAGAGAATATTCCGGCAAATGTCCAACTATCGGATCCCTTTTTTCAGAAGCCTTAACGAATAGACTTACTAATTGGAGCTAGCATGCTTTATGATTTATTATGTGTTGGGCAGATTAAGCTGATCCCTGGGCTACCGCTTCTTCAGAAAACTCGCCTTGGTTTTTTTTCGTTTCTGGTGGAGAACAAAGACATTTTAATACAAAAACTTTGGCTGCTTGCTGTGTTTCAAATGGTAAACTAAACGATTATTTCGATGATATTGTTCGTCGGTTTTGGGAATTAGAAAGTTCAATGAATCAGTTTTCATCAGTACAAAGCAGGAGCTTAATTGCGAAAGGCATTCTGGCGACACGTATGTCAGATTAACTACAGGTGAATACTGGGTTCCAAATCCATTAACATAGGCGAGTCATAAGCGCAAGCGCACCGTAGATTTCTGAATCCGCAGCACAAACTACATCCTCAACCTCACCTTAAAGAGCAGAATTAATCTTAATCAGATCTTAATCATATGTCTCCAGTTGACCCTGTGGATATACACATGTGTCGGTACTTTCTCCCACGTCACTGCGTTATTGAGGAAAGTTCAACAACCAAACTACGTGTGGTTTTTGACGGATCGGCTGTAGCCTCATCTCGTCGATTCCTTAATGATGTGCTGCTGGCAATCCTGATAACTTCTAGCAATTGCAAGCTTAAAAGCTTGATATAGTTTCTTATGGAACAAAACCAGCGTAATTTGTTAGTCGAAGGACTATGCACCAGCTAGCTCGGGATGAAGGCCCTAACTTTACAATTGGATCCACTGCCTCGCTTGAGGCATCTATATAAATGATTTAATTTCTGGGGCAACTCAATTTCGGAGGTTATAAACAAAATGCAACAGACTTCTAAGAATCTTTCTCGTGCGAACTTAAAACTCCGCAAATGGTGTTCTAATCATGAAGCCATTTAAGAACTGTAGCTGAGGCTGACAAGGAGCATTTTATTCGTTTTGGGGTGTTGGAGATAAGCGTTCCGTTAAGTGACGCGCTACTCTGCAATTGTCTTATTTGTCTTATTAATGACTAAATTATTTTTTTCGAGCAAATAATTAATTAAATTTTTTAAAATAATAGAGCAATTTTTTTTTGTCGTTGTTTAGAGCAGACCGCTAGCACCTGGTCAAATGCTCATGGGTGTGCGCTGTAAACGCAGGGCTGTTATGCAGCTTTGTTCTTCGTTTTTCTTATCTCGCTACATTTGTCGCGTTATCTATTCAGCTGAGCTACAGCGAAAACATGTACACAAATTTGAAGTCAAACTTTCGACAAGTCAGTTATACAAAATCGCTGCAACTCCGAGCACAGCTAATAAAATCAAGAAATAATTTCAATGGAACCTATCGTGCGTTTAATTTATATTTCTAAACTAAAGGGTGGCATTTTGGTTGTTTTCCCCATTAACATTTTGGTGACCCCGGCGTGATATTCGTTTAATCGGAGTCTGCATGTCGGTTTTTAACATTGTTTAATATCGTTTAAGCAATAACTTATTTTCGCTGTCGTTTGCTGCATCTCAGTCAGAAACACACGAACACTTTATGTGCGCATTTTCGCGCTGTGAAAGAGGCAAAACTGTGTTGGGCTGCAAACATTAAACATAAAAGGAAACGCAATTAATTTTTGTTAAACGCGTATATTGCATACATATATGTGTAAATAGCCGTGTATGTGTATGGTCACATACATTACTTTGCCAAGTCAATGCGCTGTTGCTAGGCAAAAATTTCGGTAAAAAGAACAAAAACAAAGTCAAAGTTTCCGTTACGTTGTTGTCGACGCTCGGTGCATTAACATTTGCGCGGCAATAGGCATAGGGTGTTTCGTTTGCCTTCTGAATCCGGTCAGAAAATTAAAAAATGGTTAACCCAGGAGACGCGATTCAACCTAAAAATGATGCTCCCAGTGACATCGAGTTTTACCGAGCCAAAGTGCGTTCCGTTTTGCGGCAGTTACACGCAATGAAAGATTACTTAACTGCTGGAGCTACTGAGCAGTTTGATGAATCTGATGTCCTCGCGCGGCTGGAATGGGTGAACTCTATGAACTTGGAATTCGATTCTGCACAGACTTCGCTGGAAAAACTGGACTTTTCGGAGATTAGTAAAAATACGCGGTTTGAATTTTCCGCAATCTTAATGGATTTAAAGGCGAAACTAAATCGGGCCCTAGCAGCTCTGCGCAAACTGCATTTGCAGGGTACCACAGCTGCCAATTTTACATCCTTTGATATTATAAACAATGCGGATCTTTCTTTCAGATTTAGGAAACCTCGATTACCAAATCTAGAGATTGCTCGTTTTCAAGGATCGTACTCAGAATGGCCGGACTTTATTGCAACTTTTAACACGGTCATTGGAAATAATGACAAGCTAAGTGATATTGAAAAATTACAATTTTTGAGGTCCTCTTTAGGCGGCGTGGCTTTGGAAACCATACGATCGCTCGAGCCCTCAAATGAAAATTATAAAAAGGCTTTAAATTTACGATCATTTAGTGGAACGGTAGCTTTGGGGAGTTCGCTCTTGCAGCTAAGACACGAGTGAGCAAAACTGAGCAAAAAAGCGAAGCTTAAATGTATACAACATAATTTTAACCATTTAAAGGTAACAACTGAAACCCTTTAAACGTTAAAATTAGCGGGATAAACACAATAAACAAAACAATAAAATTTGAATTTAAAGATAAAAAGGCAGTGTGACTGTGAACTTATTACCAAAAAAAAAGCATCTCAAGCATTGTCCATATAGTTGTCTCTGTCTCTGAGCTTTAATAAATTCAATAAACAATGTACTTTCATACTTGTATCATCCCCAAATCAACCGATTTCATTGCTCTGCAATTTGATAACCGACACTTTAGGTGACTAGAAGGGATGCCTTGCAGATCAGTACAAGATTTTCTGAAATGGACAAATCCAGGATCATAAGAACCCTTTGAAAGTAAAACTTTTTTAATACTACTTAAATTGCGTGACCTTCAACAACCTGATCATGGAAGTCTTTTTCATTGACAAGAATACTCGCATAGCCTGGAAGCTCCTACCCAATATGTCCTGGATCCCTAGATCCACAGTAAAAGTGAAAAAAAGATTTTACCATACTCATTCTAATGCTGCTAAAGCAATAAAAAAAACAATATACCAATAATAATAAATGAGCAAAGATATTAGTGCATTTTTTAAAAGCTAATGAATAAACAAATGTGACCAAAAATAACATAAAGAGAAGGAGTGCAGTGAGCAACTTAATTTGAGGATTGTGTTTTTTTGTTTTAAGTTTAATTATGAATGATTTAAGAACAACCGTATATACTGAGCCGCCTATTATTTAGTCCTCTAAAGCCCAGGATCCAGGGATCAAGATATCATCGCAGAGTTAATCAAAATAATAATATTTTACTTCAAATCAATGATAACACATTTTACTTTACAGGAGTAATATTTTTGGTCAGTTTTTTTACTATTACAAGAAAATTGAATAAATCAATATAAAATCTTACATTTATTTTACTATTGTATTTGTTTATATAAAATAATATTTTTATTAAACTTTATCATGTTTTCATGTATTTGCAATTTTAAATTATGTTAAAAGTATTTACTCCAAATGTTTTATATTAAAAGTTCTCTTTATTTTTGAAATCCGTTTATAAACACGCGTTAACTTTTCTCACAAATCCACTTAAACTGCAACCGAAATTTAAACAGGACTTGGTAGACACCAATTTAAAGGGGGTGCTGACGCAACAGTGGAATAGGTCAAGAAAATGACATCATTTCTGACGGACAACCTCGACAATAGGGGATCGTATTGCGCGGCCCGCGACCGACTGACTCTCACATTCATTGACTTTTAGCAGGCACTTTTAATATTTATTCTTGTTATATTGGAGAGGAAAGAAGCTACCAAGAACCAAACCCCTATATCCGAAGAGATCAGGTGCCTGACCATCGGACACTTTTACCTCGGCCCAAGTTCCTTCAGGACTAGGGCACTTATATGTCCACGTATTACGTATCCTAGAGATGCGCTCAAAATTAAATTGAGAGCATCAGCTTGAGAGATAGCCTGTCCGAAGTTTAACGGATGCTTAATTTTAAATTTTCAGACTGTAATTTTAGTTGAATTTATATATATACTTTATACTAAGAGTGTTCCCTCTTTATTCTTATTTCTACGAAGCACGTCAATTTTTAGAACGAATCTGACAGCAGGAAGAAGAATTTTACCAGCGTGTATGGGGTAAAAAAATGTTTGTAATTATAGACAACCTGGTTTGTTTGTGAGAAGTGTTTCTTTTTTTTTATCAAAATGTAGTAACGAAAAAAAAATTTCTTGTTTAAAATCAATCCTCTAAATATATTAGTAAAAAATATATTTACCGGTCCAGCAAAATAATTCCTGGCTAAGTAAACGTTGCGCATTGCGTAATTAATAAGCAGGGTCAATTTGTTTTTCGGTATGGAGTCTAAAGCGTGCTTAGCTTTTAACTTGGCAACATCAATGCTCATTGTGTTCAGCAATTTTGGTGAAATACACTCAATGTTTTCGTCGACATCTTCTGTAAAAAATAAAAATAATGAACAAATATTAATATTTAAGGATTGAAAATATTTTTTTAAGGTGAGGATCTGAAGACACTTCGACAGCCTCTGATGATTTCACTTGGGGTTGAGTAACAGCTCTTTGATCGTTTGAGTTTGATTCTGATTTTATTGAATAAACTAAACGGTATTTATAGGAAATTGACTGGTAAAAAAGTAGGTGGAAAGAGAAATAGATATAAATCGTATTTTACTATAGACAGAATGCATTGGAACCATTAGCTATTGCCCGATATATGAAATTGGGGTGTCAGTCAGCTAAACGTTTTATTTCGGCGAACTGCTCATGGTTTGGTTGACCTAATGTCTGTTTTGATGACTAATAATAATTGCGATAACAATTTAAATATGTAGGCCAGAGTGCCTCAACATTGATCGACATCTTGTACTGGGTGGCTAATCTAGCAGTCGAATTTAAATGGAAAACCACTTCATTCATATTCCATAAAAATGCTCATCTTCAACAATTGCTACATAAAAAGAAAATCGTTTTGCTAAACATCAAGCCGTTTTTTTAGAGACATTTTAATTTTTCAATCGGTTTTGTGTGTACCTGCCTTTTGGCTTGATAGGGAAAATATCCTTGTGGAAGCATTTTCTTATATATATTGTTGAACGTTGATGCACTATAAACTGTACAAACAAGTGACCCAAGTTAGGCGCGGGCCCTATTAGCATAGTGGGCAGTTATCGAGTTCGCGAGGAAAACACAAATAACATAATTTAGACTTTTATAAAAAAAACTAAATTTAAGTAGGAGGCAAATATGTTAAAATTGGAATTGGGACAATTTCCTTTTATGTAACTGAATTTAAAGAAACGCCCGTTCTAATGTGCGCGGTTTTTTTACGCTTAGGTGACTCATCTAGCAGTTCTCATCTAACTGTTCCAGAAGAGGATAAATATATCTTTTGGTGAAGATTGAAGCCATTTATCACAAATTAAGTTAACTCCAACAAGAAAGAAAGCAAACTTCGGCAAGCTCATATACCCTTGCAGCTATTGCAAGAATTAAACATTTTTGAAAACATTAAAATTATGATTTACTTGCGTATATGAACATTGAAGCTATGATGATTTGCAGCACAATTATTTGATAGTTATTTTATATATTTTTATTATTTCTATAGGAAGTATTTAATATAGACGTCCGACGTTTTGATAAAATTTAAACCATAATTCTAAAATATTTAACCATTGCTATATGTCGAAGAACTGAACAAAAATTTAAAAAACAGAAAAGTTATAATTTTTTTCATTTATTTTTCGGATTGTTCCTATGGAAGCTATATGCTATAGTCGTCCGATTTTGATGAAACTTAAACCGTAAATCGGAAATATTTAACCATTACTAAATGTCGTAGAACTAAACAAAAAAATAAAAAACAGCAAAGTTATAATTTTTTTCATTTATTTTTCCGAATGTTCCTATGGGAGCTATATGCTATAGTCGTCCGATCCGGCTCGTTCCGGCTTATATACTACTTGCAATAGAAAGACAACTTTTGGGAAAGTTTTATGCAGATAGCTTTAAAACTGAGAGACTAGTTTGCATATAAACGGACGGGCAGACGGACGGACAGACGGTAATGGCTAGATCGACTCTACTAGTGATGTTGATCAAGAATATATATACTTTATAGGGTCGGAAACGTCTCATTCGCTGCGTTGCAAACTTCTGACTGAAATTATAATACCCTCTGCAAGGGTATAAAAATCGAATGATGGTGATCTCTGTTTCATAAATTCGTGTTGACACGGTGAAACATATATAATACTTTCAAAAGGCTGTGGAATAGCCGAAATCCAAGATATACCTCTATAATTCTTGACATACAGTTTATTACCTTTCATATGTTTTTTACTACTAAACTGTTCGCTTAACGTGTTAAGTTGTTTTAATACTTCAAAAAGATTCTTAAAACCGACACGAGTCTGACTCACAAAGCCACACATCTCAAGTTTAATATTCCTGCACATGTCCATTTGAGCCCAGTTCGCAGGTCAATGTAATTTCTAACTCTGCCAACAAATCCTGCACCTTTTGCATGCACGATTGTATAGAAGAGCCAGCTGATGATAAATATATCATTTGATGTAGATGGAAGCTAACTAGAATCATTAAATAGTAAATTTATTACGCAAAAAATATAAAATAATATAAAAATACCTCAGTCAATTTGACACTGGGATCAAATGAAAGCACAAAATTTATAAACGGGCTCTCCCGCTTTTGCATTTACACGCGTTTCATTTACTACGCGTGTAAATGCAAAAGCGGGAGAGCGCGAGAGAAAAAATGTTCTGTCGACTGAGTGTAGCTTGAAAATCACTAACAACTTTGAAGGTACACAGTTAGAGAAGGCGCCGGAAGTAGAGCGGGAGGGAGAGAATAAAATATTACAGAGAGTTACTCGTGCAATGTTCCAAAAGCAATACTAAGAGCATTGGCAAAGCATGCAAAAGATAATGAAATTAAAATAGCACAGGTATTAGGTAATTTAAAATTAAATAATTAAAACTCTAATAGCGAGTACAGATTTATATGAAAAGACTAGTTTCAAACACACACAATGCAGTTAAGCTAAGCTTGGTTAAGAAAAAAACACCAGTACTTTTAGAAATTAATCAAAACTTGACTAAATCACAGAGCACAAGATAATCACAACCGATCTCAAGCGACGCAAAATATATAAAAAATTTTTTTTTTTTTTTGGAAATCTATGTTAAAGAATTGCTTTCTTTTTAGTAGGTATATGTTGGGCACTACAATATTAAGGTAAACTTTGAAGTGTTTCCCCCCGGTTGCCCCCAGATGAAGTTTACATCATGTTATTTTTAAGTATTCTTAGATTATAACATTTACTTAAGTTGCAGAAGCCTGCAGAAGCACATGTGCCATTACAAAATTTCTATCAGCAGATCTATGTTGGAGGGAAGCTCTTTTTTATTCTGTGCCTGTTATGTTGTTGTTGCCGCGTAGTTTGTAGTTGTATTTTCGACTTTTATGATGTAAAGTTATTTTTTGTATTTAACTAGCTTATTGTTTTCCAAGGTAGCCACAATCAACGCGAGTATTCGCAATCGTATGTTTTTAACGTTTGTTTTTAAAAAAAACAGTACACTGGCCTTAGAAATAAAATGTGTTGGAACCCTTTATTAAGGACATAGGAAGTAAGGAATTTGGAAGAATTAGAAGAAAGGAGCAAACAATATTTTAAAGAGCTTGCATTGTTTTGTCACATCATTAAGCGGAAACAATCAACAGTTTTGAGAAAATATTTTAAAGGAGTCAACTATTTCATTATTAAATGAAATAATTTACAAAGTACTTGATTTGGTATTTTTGTTCGTATTCTACCTAAAATATATATGTATGTTATTATAACTTTTTGAATGAGGTGGGCTTGAGGGTGAAGTTGGCCAATCACGTCAAAATGTTTCTATTACAGTTCTTTGTTTGTAAATAACTTACAGTAAATCGCCTGCTGCAAGCGGTCCTGTTGTTCGCAGTAGATGGTAAAATAAGGCGTCTGGCCATATGAGAGCAGCTCTTAGTGGATGATTTCCTTCCAATCCCACCAAACACACCAAGCAAAACCATCCTGGCCGTCAGGATGCTCCGCTGCTCGATATATTACCATCCCCCTAAACACCATTAATCTCAAGGAACATTTCTCTATTGGATTTGCTTTTAACGAGGGAAAACTTTAAAATAGCGCGAATTTCGGCGTTAGTGAACTCCATGTTTACACGTCTATAACTGTTGAACGCAATCAATCATGCATAGCGTCGTTTTGTAGGTTATGTCAAGACCTGCATAGTATAGCCAGATACGATCGCTAAGTGCTTTGTACATAGAGATATTTGACCTTATAAAATAATGGTATCATAGTCCTTGCCTAAAGAGTTGAATTAATTTTAAAGTCCCAGCGTGCCCCATTCCCAGATGAGAGGAGACTTGGCACCACGTACCCAAAGTGAACTGACTCTCCGTGTAACAGGACGCAAGAAGCCCAAACCAACTGACGAAAACTATTCACGGGAACAGGAAACTCTTTCCCAATGTGCGTTGATGTGTGTAACCGGCAGGGCCGGGCCACGGGTAGACGACAGCGTAGAAACTTAACCCAGGATGATTTGAAATCTTTCTGACGTTCCATACCTAACTATAGAAAACTATAGAAAAACAAACCTGTAATACATTTCAAAAAAATATCATAGATTTCCGGGAATACGTGCCTCAAAAAGAAGTCTTACAGGCGACCAACAGGCTCCGTTTTTCCTGTAGATTCGCCGGAGAGTGCCGGAGTTTATGTGAGTTTTTGAACTGCTCCGCTTTCGGCGCAGCCCGGTGTGCGCGTCTTTTCCTTTTTCCCTTTGAGCAGCCAAACATGGTGTCCAACTCTTCCATGACGTGTCCCCGTGTAAAAATTGTTGAGCGGCTGTTCCTGCACGATTGCTCGTGGAGAGGATATTTAAACGGCGGTCAACTGTCTCAAATTTATTTGCAGAGCTTCGGTGACAGACACACTTCAACCCCTTGTCTTTTCACCCATTCTCGCCCTTTTCTTCTCATTAATAAATCAATATAATAATTTTTAATCAAAAAATCGCCATATAAATCGAACTGGGTCAATCTATCAATTTCTTTGAAGACTTTAAAATTTTTAATTAATATATAATATTCTTTAAAAATACTAATTGTTGAAAAAAAGACATAGTTTTTTATAATAATTGTTGATAAAAAAAAATTAAAACTCAAAAATAATGATTAGAGTCATTAGGCAACTTACTTTCTGAAACTGCCAAAACATCAAAATTGAACTGGCTAGCTGAGAGGTAAGCATACACTTGAAAGGGCTAATGATTATTTATTTTTGCTAATTTGTAGTGTATGAAGCCAAATACTTTTTGAATGAATATATAGATAACATCGTGATATAGAATGCTTTTT